TCGGGCTCATGTAGTCTAAGGTATCGAAACCTTTCGGAGGCCCTGAACCCACAGGGACCCCCAGTGAGGTAGGGGGGGAGGGTTGGGGACTGTACTTCCTTAAATTGCCCTTCTTGGATCCTTATTATGGGCATTAAGGCCCCCTGTCCCCGCTTCCCCTGATCCCTAAACCCCCCTCTCCCCCTATCCCCCCTAAGGGTCCCTGTGATGAACCCTAAACCCCAAACCCTGCTTACCCAAAAGGGCCTACGCACCTATATAGGTTCCATTAAGGAAACCTTTCAAGGTTTAGATTTATAAGTTTATAGGGTTCCTTCAAGGGCTCCTCAGTAGTTACCCCTATATATCTATATTTGTATACTGCATATATGTATATATACAAGATTGTAGGCTTTCTAGATCAGGAATATGTATGATGATTTGGGAAAGTATCCCCCGTGACAGTCCGTAGGGGTATAGAAACCCTCGAGGAGGCGCTGAGACGCAAGATTTGGATGTGCGCAGCCGGGGCTCCATCGTCGCACTCCAGTGCAGAGGGCCGCACTCACGCCATGCTGAAGCAGGCGGACGAGGGTGTAGGGTTTTAGGGTGAAGGGTTCTAGAGGTATTGTAGGGTTTATGGGGTGCAGGTTCTCAATGTTTTGTAGAGTTTAGGGTGTGGGGTTCTAGAGGTATCGCAGGGTTCTAGAGGTATTGTAGGGTTTAGGATGTACGGCAGGCTATAGGGTACAGAGTTTTTGGCAAAGTTTAGGGGTGTCGTGAAGCTGGAGAGAGCAATGCCCCTAAGGGAAAAGCCGTGAGCAAGGCCTTGACCCCCAAAAGTCAACGCCCTAAACTCCTGTAGAACCTGTATATAAACTAAACCCTACATTATAATTCCCTAAACCCCACATCCTAAACCCTAAACCCCTGAAGCGCTTGAAGCCCCTAAACCCCTAGAGCCCTACACTTTAAACCCCTAAAGCTCTTACAACCTGGCAAACCAGGCACCGACGCCTTCGCCCTGGGCCGAAGGCTGGCCTAGTCTCAAGGCCAGCGTCGTTCCCTACGGCCGCTCGACCTTGCCCCTACCCCAAGGGTCCAAAGGGCCCAGTAATTAGGTACTTGGTTTTGGGATAGTAGTAATGTAGGTTAGGATTTTGGAGAGTATATGATTATTAAGTACTTGGACCCTTGGGGCTAAGGCCCAACATAGCCCAAAACGGCCTTATATAATAAGGTCTTTGGGCCCAAAAGCCTTAGAGCCTTAGGGTAAGGGTGTGGGGTCTGGGGTTCAGTCTCTACAAGTTGAGGGGCTTTGGGTGGGAGGGTTTCGGATTTAGGTTCCTAACCCTCGACCCTAGACCTTAAACCCCTAAACCCTCCTAGGTAGTATCAGGGAGACCCCTTGAAGGGGAGACCTTATCTTCAAGGGACCGGCTCATCCTTACTCCTTTTGTGGTGTGGGGTTTGGGGCTTGAGGTTGGGGTTTAAGGGGTGTGGGGTGTGGGGTTTAGAGTTCAGTCTCTAGGGGTTCAGGGGCTTTGGGGGTGTTTAGGGTTTAGTGTTTGCTACGCCCCCGAGACCCGAACGGTTTAGGGTCAAACCTCAAGTCCGGCTAGAGTATACCGCAACCCTTAACCCCACTAAAACGGAGTATTCAACTAGGACCTAGAGTAGGCCCTTATTCCCCCTTTGTTGGGTTCAGCTTCCCTTTTCCCCCCCTTTGAACCCAAGAAGGGCACCTTTTTTAATTCGCGGGTTACTCTTAGGACTAGTCAAAACCATCGACGTGTTTTGGCCCCAAGTAGCCAGGAGGAGCCTCAATGACATGAAAATGTGCGAAAAGATAGCTCATGATGCAAACGCAGCGCAAGATACCCTTACAAGGACCCAGAGTAGGCCCTTGTTCCCTTTGTGGGTGGTTTAGGTTCCCTTGTAACACCCTGTAATTAATCCAGAAAGGGCACCCTTTTGTTCCTCGGTTACTCTAAGGTCTAGCTTAGATACACAGATGTAGCTGATGTATAACCCTGTGAAGGCCTAACAAGAGCCTGGTATGGTCTCAGCAAAACCCCGTCAGAACGATTCTTCGAAGGCCTAAACCCTGCAGGTACGCTACCTGGACCCCAAAATTATGTAAGATAATAGTCTTTTATGGGTCTTGGGCCATTATTTCACCTACTTTCGGGGGTTTAGGTAAACCCTGGATCATCCGAGGTGTGCAGCTGGGTAAGGAGGCAGACTGGCAGCTCGCGCAGACCACCTTGTGGGGGCCAACAGAGACTGGGGTGCAGGGTGTTGGGGTGAGGGTTCAGGTTTCCGCAAGAGACGTTTTGTTTTGTTTTTTAAAGGTCTTGCAGGCTCCTGAAGGAAGGTATAGGGGTGTCTGCGGCGTTTGTAGAGGGTTCGATAACTAGAACAGTGTTTTGGGGTGTAGCAGAACTTCAAAGAAGTACGGGTGTAGGGTTCAGGGTGAGGTTTGATTAGACAGGATTGCAATGTGTGATTGAATAATCCATTACGCGGTTTCAGAATTTCAGGTGTAGGGTTGAGGGTTCTAGCTTTGATTAGGATTAGAAGCTTCGCACGAGCTGGCAACCGGGGTTTGGGGGTGTTAGCTCTTGTTCAGGATTAAGTAAAGGGCTCAGGTTTCGAAGGCTGAAGTGAGGTTTTGGGGTATAGCATATCAGTGATTGTACTGGAAATACAACTTGTACAAAAACTATGGCAAGCCCAGAGGCTCCAATATCCCATAATCAAGCAACTTATCTTATATGTCAGAGTTAGTGAGCCTACTATAAACTAAAGTATATTCCTTAATTAAGGGATACTGGAGTATTTGGGAGCTCTTCTACATCAGCGTCTATGAACGAGGTTTCATTGGTTGTACCGACCAGGCAGGTTTGTTTCGGATCGTTTTCATTGCCTTCCTGCATCATTGGTAAACTTGTCCTTGTACAAGCTTTACGCTGTCATAGTACCTAAACCCTAAACCCTAAACCCCTAAACCCCTAAACCCTAAACCCTAAACCCTAAACCCCTAAACCCCTAAACCCTAAACCCTAAACTATAGTACGATAATGTATTCTTCAAAACCCACTGCTGCCTGCCGGTGCCGTCATCCCGAAACCTACAAACCGACTCCCAAGTATATCAGCCCTAGACACAATTACTGGGTTCTTGTTAAGGAACTTAATTTAAGTTACCATAATAAGGAAACCCTATTATTTACGATAGATCCCTATTATGGTAACTTAAATTAAGTTCCTTAACAAGAACCCAGATTACACCGGAAGCCCGAACCTCCAAACCCTGGTAAGTACTTCGAAAACCGACAGAAGGGCCGTGGCCTAGGAGAACCCAAGCCGCCAAGCGGACCGGGCGAATGTGGCAGAAGCAGAGCTGGATTCAGTGTGATGACTTTTACTGGCTGCTTAGTCCCATACCCTGCTTATCCCAGCTCAGTCTGGATTGTAACATCTCGAGTTTCAGTACTTGTGTTTTGTCTGTGCCCACATCAAACCATCTGAGGAAATTCTGCCAATGCTGCGTGAAGAAGTTGTGGCTGCGCTTTGAGATCAAAGCACGCGACCAGCAAGCTCAACTGTACCCTACATAGGCCTTAAACCCCACACCCTGAACCCCATTACTGACCGTGCAGCTTGAAAGCTCCACGTTGTACAGGTCAGTCCTGCGACAAAGCCGAAGGTGTACAGCGCTTCGCAGCAAGCTTCAGTTATTGGCAGGACAAAGTGACGGCTGCGTGCCTGCCGTGGCGACATGAAGAGACATATTGTCGTTTGGTTACATACAGTCACGTACATTCAACACTATCTGCAACATGACATGATGGATGTGTGATGGTAGATAGAAGTTACACGCAACGATTGTGTATATACATGCTTGCCTGTGTGCTTAAAGCCAGCTGTTCAATAGTGAATTTCAGGGTGGTGTAAAGTAGACGTAAAGTCTGGGTTTTCCAGACTTCTACCTAAACCGTAAACCCCAGGGTTTAGGGCTTAAGGTTTAGGGTTTAGGGTTTGAAGTCAATGTCAGTGGGGTTGGGGCTTCAGGGATTTAGGTAGGGCTTCAGTGTTGGGGTCGAGGGCTGCCCCTTCCTGAAGGACCAAATGACCATGGGCCCTATACCCATATACTATGAAGCTCTATAACGGTATATGAACCTTGAACCCTTTTAGGGTTCATGTCGTCCTTAAGGTTTAAAATTCTTCCGTCCGGACGCACTACAGGGGCGCAGAGCTAGACAAGCAGTAGGACGCGAGACTGCAAGCCCTACACCCTGAACCCTACAACCTAAGCCCTAAACCGAAAACCTAAACCCTAAACTCTTAGCCCTAAGCGCTATAAACTCTAATTAAACCCTAAACCCTAAGCTCTGAACCCTAAACCCAATTTCAGCCGGATTGCCATTTGCTCTGCTTTCATCCTCGGGGCTACAGCGCGCAACTCGACAACCCCGGTTCAGGGTTCAGGGTTTCGGAGGGTTCAGGGTTAGGGTTTACAGAGTTTAGGGTTTAGGAGGGTGCGTCAGGGGGTTAAGATCTTCTGCGTAAGTCAGGCGCCCCGAAAGGTAGGATGCAGGTAGGTGGGGTAATCCCCAAATCAGAGTCCTTATGTAAAGGATCCTTCATCCTACCTACCTTCGTCCCACCTTTTGAGGCCTCCAAGAGAAGAGCTCTGGGTGTTTGCGATTTAGGCTTGAGGGATCTTGGAGGCCTCCGACCATCAACCCGACCTGGGCGTTTCCGAAAATGGGGGAGCCTACTTTTGTACCCTCAACAGTAGGATCCTTATAAAAAGGGCCCGAAAATAAGGTAATTTTCAGAAACTCTGACCTGTAGCCTCAACCTGACCCCTGCATTTTTTTGGTTTTTTTTGCCCTGATGATGGTAGCTTTTAGGAGCCACAAGTAATCCCTAAACCCCATAAACCCTACACCCTGAAAAAAAGGAACCCGAAGCCCGGGACCATAGGACCTGCCCCAGCCCGCTGCAAAGGCCCGGCGCTCTCTTCGGGGCTTTGCAGCCGGAAGTTGTGGTTGTCACCAGCTTGATGCTCAGTGTCTCATACGCGCGTGGGTTCGGGGTTTACTCCCCGGTGCTTAGTAGGGAATGGGGGAATGGATCCCTATACTATAGTAGTCCCTAAATAATCCCCACTAGTAGTCCCCATAACGCATTCCCCCATTTCCTGCGAAGAACCACGCAGTATAGTGTTGAGGGCTAAGAGCAGGAAGGTCTAGGATGTTTAAGTCGGGCTCAGCCAGGACACCCCCAATGGCCCTTTAATGGAGCCCTTATGGTCTTCAGTAGTGCGGTATTTAGGGCGTGTATTAGAGGGTAGTTGCGAGGTCTAGGACGGTCTTGAGGTTTAGAGCTTGGCGTTTAGGATTATAATCGGCTTATGGGGTTATAGGGTGTTGGGTCTACAGGTTTTCTGGTGCTACGTTGACAGGATGATATAGCATAGGGCTCGGGGTTAAAGTTTCAGGGTAATGCAGGAATGAGGCCAATCCCTGATGAATTGACTTGTTGAGGTTCCGCATAGGAGAGATGCGGATAGTTCTCCATGTTCGTGTGCACCCGAAGTCCACACGCCAAAACAGCTTAACAATGTGACCCATCAACTTCATCTAAATTACAGACAGCACACTTCTGCAAGCTTTGGAATAGAATGCCCCAAGACCCAAGTATTCAAGAACCTGTGCCAATGAACTTGCATGGGCAATGCAAGTAAAGTTACGATCAGCAAAGGCCCAGAAAAGCCCAAACACAGCCAGTTCCCCTTATCAAACCCTACTGAAAAAAGGTGCCCTTAGTATCGAAGCGCTACTCAGGAACCTACTATTCGAAACCCTAAACCCTAAACCCTAGCAGTATTCTTATAGATCCCTTTAACGTCCCTAATAGTATTCTTATAGAGCCCGTTTAAAGGAACCCTTCTTGACGTCCTCGGAGCTCCGCAAGCCGAGATCTGAAGAGGCCCCAATGCCGACTTCGGGGAGAGCAGCGGATCCGAAGACGAGGCAGCTGCTTCCCAGAGACTCCAATATCCCTTAATTAAGGAATATTCCTTAAATTATGGTAGGATCCCTTATATGATTTAAGGTATATTCCTTAAGTAAGGGATATTGGAGTCTCTGGGCTTGAGGGCTTATAGGGCTTATAGAGTTCTCAGGGTTTATAGTTTATAGAGTTTATAGGGTTTATAGGGCTTATAGGGCTTAAGGGGTTTATAGGGTTTAGGGTCTAACTATAGGGCTTTTAGGGTTTATAGGGGCTGATAGGGGTTAGGGTTTCGGGTTTATAGGGTTTCTAGGGGTTTCGGGTCTAATGATGGGGTTTATAGGGGTTGGGGTTTAAGGGCTAGTTTCGGCACCTGGGGGGTCTTCAAGTGTTCGGGACTTGGGTTTTAATTAACTATGATGCCCAGTAGTACCCTTATTCTCTTTTTGTAGTCCTAGGTTCCTTATTAAGTTAATACGAACAAGGGAGGCCTTTTAATTCCTAGGTTGCTTGGCATCCTAGTCAACAATAGTCTCCATAATCCATTCCCCATTCCCTACTAAGGGCTACTATAGGTCCCCTTAGGAGCCCTTTTTATTCCTAGGTTACTGGGTGTCCTAGTTAAGGGATGCGTAGAGGTTGTAGGTTTGGGTTGCTGTTGGCATCTGGGTCTAGGGCTTCGGGTTCAGATCTCGGGTTCGGGGACATTGAGGCAGCAGGGTTTATAGGGTTTATAGGGGCTGATAAGGGCTGGGGTTTAGGGATTATAGGGTTTCTAGGGTTGATGATGTTTCAAGTCTAGGGTTTTGGGTGAGGGCTTGGGGTAAGAAGTTTGCAGTTTCGAAGGTTTAGGGTCAATATAGGGGCCTCAATAATCACCAACATTGTTTTGGGGCTTCCTTATTACATTTTTAGTAGAATATCCCCCAAAACCCAGTTCTAATTATGAAGGCTCCTAGATTATTTCCGGTGGTGTTAGGAGTTCGAGAGGTCGCCGAGCCTATTGCGAGTTGTCGAAGGTCAGTGGAACAGGGTTCAATGAAGTAAAGGGTTTAGGGTTTAGGGAACTCCAGAAAGTTGGAATATGGATGAATGGTAGGATCCCCTATAATTTACATTATTAAAGGGCTTAGGATAACCATATTCCAACTTTCTGGCTTTTACTTTAGAACTCTGAAGCTTGATGGCTCCAAAGCGCCGTCTCAACAACCAGATTGTTTCAAACGAAATAACATGGCTCATTACCAGGACCCTCCTTGTACTCTCAAATAGGGCTATATGGTCCACAATAGTAGGGTAGGGTCTTGGTACCTGCGCTGCTTTCAGGATCCTTTCGGAGTCATGTTGGGTGCCTGCACTTTTTGGTTGTGACTCATTCCGGGTTCGTTTGCAACGTTGAACAGTCTCATTTGTTGAGATTCACGGGTTTTGTCAAAGGATTTCCCGGGATTAGAAGAGTGTTTTGGAGATCAGCGTCGCGGGGTCAGAGTGTCATGTCTAGACCGAAGAGACCTAGGAATAGAAAGGATGTCCTTTTTTGTTTAAAGGGGCCTATAAGAGAACCTGAACCCTTAAAAAGGGAATAAGAGCCTACTCTAGGTCCTAGTGAATTAAAGCCCAGGAAGCAAAGCAGCATACACACAGTGCAGCTTTGGGGTACTTCCTGGGGTCCGGAACCATGCAACTGTGAACGAGACGGATTAATGCCAGTACTTGTGTAGACAGCATCTACGATTTGACACCGGCTTTTTCGAACGGTGAGAGAAAGTCTTGTTTTAACTCCTTGTGGCACTATTCCGATGGTTCTAGTTACAGGACTCGTAGCACGCAGACAGGCAACGGCCAGTACGCAGCCCCTGCTTCATGACTCAGCCTGACAAGCTTCTAGACAAGGGTTTAGGGTTTAGGGGTTTAGGGTTTACAGTAGGGTTTAGGGTTTAAGCCACTCCTTGTTGGCACAGGGATTTCTCCGTGTAGCTGTGATTCAGGTTGCACAGGGCTTTCAATCGGAGCGGTGGCTTAGGAGGCACCCCTACACACTGGCCCAGCAACATCCCAAACCCTAAACTGGACTTTGAAGTAACCCGGGAGATAACTACCCTTAAACCCTATAATCCTACTATACCCTAAGCCTTATAGAATCCTTAACGGAACCCTACTCCGATGTCTCGACGTAGGACGCGGGGCCTGCAGAACCTCGGCAGTTCCGGCACGCGGATCACGAGCGAGAGTGGACGCGAGAAGAGTTCCGTGAGTGGGCAGAGGCCGCGGCCGAGAAGCACGGCCACTCGATATCGAAGATCTAGTAGCAGAGTTTGCAAACTTTGGCCTCTTGTTGGTACTATGATACCTATATCATCCTAAAGGTTAAACCTGTAGTTCCAACAGGATACTCGACAAGTAAGAAGATTTCCTTCTACTGTAGATCCCAAGGAATCCAGGACGACTAGCATAGTAATGGTCTGGGACCTAGAGTAGGCCCTTATTCCTTTTTAAGGGTTCAGGTTCCCGTATAAGCCACTTAAACCAAAAAAGGCACCCTTTGTATTCCTAGGTTAAGCTTGGGTCTAGTAGTATATAGTACAGGTTTTCAAAGGCCTTTAGGGTCCGGCCTGAATCTTCGTCCTCCAGCCCAAGCACCAGCATCTCTACCCCCAAACATGACGGGCCTTTCATCGCGACCCACACGTCAATCCACAAACGGAGAAGATACGTGCTTCAGGGTAACTATCGTGCGGGGTGGGCAGGACATAGTCCGGAAGAGTCACCCGAACCCTAATATAGGGACCTTAGTAGTCAGAACAGGGTTTGGGGGACTTTCATACCATAGCTACAATTAAGGAACCCCCAAAACCCTGAGAAGAAGCAGAGTGAAGACACCGCTTGAGGTGGCAAAAGGTCTTCATCCTCGGCCCCCCTTCGTAACAACGAATGTGGTAAGCACCTTCATCGCATATAGTAGGCCCCAAAAAGTTGGAAACCGGATTAAGGACGATTAGTGCCGAGATTCCCTATACATTGCTCGTAATGATTGAGGCTATTGGGTTTCCAACTTTTGGGCTTAAACTGCAGTCGTGTTGTCCTAGCAGATCTTAAGCCCAATTACCTAGAATTTGTCTTTGGGACTTCGGACCCCGTATAGTGACATAAGTTAAGACGAAGCCGCTTTTGAAACAGGAAGAGCGGGTGAAACCTGTTCAAGACTTTACTGGTTGGTACGGGGCTTCATCCCTACCTGTGTAGTACATATAGAAATCGTGCCAAGCATGTGAACAAGCCTTAATCCTTAATTATGAAACCCAATAAAACCAACATGAACACCCCAGCCACACCCAACAATCATCCAGAAGAGCCATAGAAGACACAAAGCAGAAATTTCACCTACCACACCCTATAAACTTGGCCCTGACCCAACCCGAAACCCTAAACCCCTAAACCCTAACCGTCTTATACCCCTCAAGATCCCCAAAAAAGTTAAACCCCTAAACCCTAAACCCTAATCGCCTTGTACCCCTAAAGATCCCCCCCCAAAAGTAAGCATTTACCCTTAAAGATCCCACCCAAAAAAGTAGGCATTTCGGAGCCCGAGGCTACTGGATCTCTGAGTTCGGCGGCGTGGGATACCTTCCCGAACAGGAAGCGCAAGGCTCCCCCAAACCTTCCCAAAAATCCCTTAAAAAGGGATCTATAGGGATTCTATAAGGGTATAGGGTTTAGGGTTTAAGGTGAAAGCCAGAAAGTTGGAATATGATTATCCTAACCCTTCTATGGTAAATTATAGGGTATCCTACCATGAGACCATATTCCAACTTTCTGGAGTTCCCTGTAAATAAGGGATCTATAAGGGTTTAGTTAAGGAATATCCCTTAAATCATATTAGGGATCCTATTCTAATCCCAAACCTTCCAATAAATCCCGTCAAAGGGATCTCTAAGGGTTCCTTTAAGGGCTCCTAATGAGGGATCTGTAGGGTTTAGGACCCAGAGACTCCAAAATCCCTTAATTAAGGAATATCCCTTAAAATCATATTAGGGATCCCTATTCTAATTTAAGGTATATAGATTCCTTAATTAAGGGATTTTGGAAGCTCGAGGCTCCATCCGGTCGTGAGTGAAGAGGCTTCAAAGGGCTCAAAGGGCGTAGGTTTAGGGTTGAGGTTTAGGGTTTAGGGTTTGGGGGTAGGGCTTCTTAGGAATACTTAGAATATTTTTTAATTTTTGGCTATTATAACCCCTAAGAAACAGCTAAAATTACAATTTTTGCTAGGGTTCCAAGTTCAGTATAGGTTTCAAAGGGCTCAAAGGGCGTAGGGCTTTTAGGGGTTTGAGGCCAGGTTCAACGGTATGGGTTCTTCAGGTGGGTCTTAGTATGGGTCTTCCTATAAGTCTTCGGTGGTTCCATGGGTGGGGTATATATTGTTATGGTTTTGGGCCTTCAGGTGGCCTACGGGGGCATGCATGGTTTCAAAATGGAAAGTTTATCCACTAAATCTACAACCCTTCAATTGATCAGGTTCCTCCTGTCAAAAAGGGGTACAACCTTGAACGACGAGGGACAAGGGGTTTAGGGTTTGGGGTATAATAGGTTTGGGCTTGAAGTAAACCCTAAACTTGCCCTAAACCCCTAAGCCCTGAAAACCCTAAACCCCTAAACCCTGAACCCTAACAACCCCAAACCCTAAAAGCCCTAAACCCTAAAAGGCCTAAACCCTCAACCCCAAACCACTCCCCGGAAGCGCCATTCACTCAGCGCTCTCTCGGCGAGGTCCATGCACGCAGCTCGCAGTCTTCGAGCGAAAGGATCTGGAGGAGCCATGGTTCTCTTAGGGCTTACCTGGACCCTGAAGAACCTACCTTTTAGGGCTCTTTATTGTGATTTCCTTATATAAGTCCCGAAAACGCTAGGTTCTTCAGGGTCCAGATAAGGTTTGGGGGCTAGGATTTAGGGGCGTTCCAAGCGGAGTTTTTTGGGTTTTACAGGGTCCTATCTTTGGTGGACTGCCGGGCAGGCTGGTTTAGGGACTTCATCGGTGTGGTGATTCCTTTCTGAGTTAGGGGGGTGTTGTAAAAAGTTGCTGGAGGAGACCTAGGACACTCCCATCAGGGGCTGCGCGGGCGTACCTGCTTCGACCCTCAACGGCCCTGCCTTAAGCTGTCGGGCTTCGTAAACCTGTAGACGCTGCAAGCCTCCCTAAACCCTAAACCCTACCCCACTGTAGCCTCCAATAGAGCCCAGCTGAAGCCATCAGAATCCCCCTTTGGGGTCCTCTACGGGTGCCGCACGTTTTCGAGTAGCCTCCAATATCCCAGAATTAAGGAATATACCTTAAATCAAATTAGGGATCCTACCAGAATTTAAGGAAAATTACTTAATGATCGGGACCGGGAAATTAAATTGGAGTCTTTGGGTACCTAGGATGCTTTGTGAAATGCTTTGAGACAAAGAGCTGGTAGCTCAGGAGGCGGCAGAGGAAGTGGAAGAGGCTGCTCTTTGCGGTTGGGAGACGCAGGCCGATAGGGGCTCAGGGGTACTTAGAAACATGTTGTTAAATTTTTGGTTCACTATAATCCCTAAGAAAGAGCAAACAAGATAGTTGTTGCTAGTGGTCCAAGTTCAGTATAGGGGGCATGTACAAAAAAGCTGAGGGCCATGTGTCATTATTGGCACTATGACTAAGCTGTTGTGAGGAACAAAGTCATAGTCTGTTTTGTGTTATTTTACAATTCTTATCATGGCTGTTTTGAGTTTCATCATCATCTATTCTTCTTCATTATCACCGTGAGTCTTTGGCATGATTTTGGAGCTCAGGGTGTCGTGAGCAATCTTAAACCACCGTGGGCCCTAAAATCCCTGCCTGTCCACGCCCAAAGACCGTGCTTGACTTGCCCTGGGAAACTCAACCAGTATTTTGGGACTTGCCATCCCTGTTGCGCTCAGGGGGCAAGATGTTTATACAGGTGATTTAGGTACCCTAATCCCCTTCGCTCTATACGGTTCCTGGCTTAATACGGTTCGGGGCTTGAGGCATAGAGCTTAGTAGTGGCCTGTCACCTTCAAACCCTAGCAAAGCCAAAAGCAGTGAACACAACAGGCCCCGGGAACATTCGCAGCAACGCATGCCACAGTGCCCTGCTGGTACTACGGTAGTGTACGAAACCCAGCATCAACCCTTCAAACACCTGCGAACCCAAGCTGGGATAATTAGAACTTAACTCTCTCTCTCTCTCTCTCTCGCTCTCTCTCTCTCTCTCTCTCTCTCTCTCTCTCTCTCTCTCTCTCTCTCTCTCTCTCTCTCTCTCTCTCTCTCTCTCTCTCTATCTATCCATCTCTCTATCTATATATATATATAATTGTGTGTATATATATGTGGATGTACGTTTAACTATTATATCTAGTCCATGTTGGCATGTTTATGTTTGTAGATCGTTATTTCTTGATTTGTTCAGATTCATTGATACATCTAATGTGTTTGTGATTATGTGTATATCTAGATATACACATACACACGCCTGTGTACCTTAGAAGGGGCCCCTACAGGGTGGTAGAATAGGAATATAATCCTTATAGCCACGATTACAGGGTGGGGGCAGCTTCTAATGTGTACCCCAAGGCTGGAGCCTTCAACATCCCCAGGTGGACCTCGGTTCTTTGTCTGCCAAAGCGCTGCGGTCGCAGGAGCTTGACAGAGCCATGGCACGACAATGGCGGTTTAGGGGTTTAGGGTTTAGGGTTTAGGGTTTAGGGTTTAGGGTTTAGGGGGCTGTTTCGGACCCAAGGTTTATGGTGCCAGCACAGGGATTGGTCACCAACTCTCTTATAGTATAGCGACAATTGCTTGTCACAGGTCTCGGTGCTTGCATATTGCGAGATCCTAAACACTGAAGCTTCGTGGCATGTGGATGTTTCCCAACCCCTTCGGCCCGAAATGCCCCAGAAACAGCTCTGAACTCCAGGAAGGCCCACGTCCCACACCCTGAACTCCAAACCACACCCTGAACTTGCAACCCCAAAGGGTCCAAAGTACCTGTATAGTAGAATGTAGGGTTTCTATATTAGTAAATACTATTATGATTTAGGGAAGTATCCCCCATAACGGTACCTTGGACCCTTTGGCAACGATCAGGCGACGGCAGTGGCCTCTTGAAGCATGTGATTCGAGAAGGCTCTGGGGAGCCTCCTCCGCAGCATTCTCGGGCAGCCTGGCTGGAAGAATCTTCAACATTTTAGAGGGATCGACAAGGTTACTATAAGGGATTTTTCAGGGTAGTATAAGGGATCTATAAGGGATCTTCATATGGGGTTTACAACGGTCTAGGGTTTAGGGTTTAAGGATGATCAGGCCCGACGCAATATAGGGGCCCAAATAGTGAAATATAGCATGTGGGGGGTTCCTTATTAAGTATAGTATGACGGGCCCCAAAAACCTATTCTACTTCTTACGGCCCCCATAGTACCCTTCGTAGAACTAGTTGCGGTGTTTGTGGCTTTGGTTCAACCTTGGGAGTTTGGGTTCTTTTCGAGTTATTTACAGGGTACCGAATGCAGACATATGGTTCACCAAGTTTGACTTGTCTGAAAGAAGCCACTGAGAGCATGTGCATAGACTGTTAAATGCAAGTATGAAAAGGACAGTAGTTAAGTAGTATTATAAAATTAAATGTACTCTATATATATATACACATACATACACACATGCGCATGTGCAGCTGTGGTTTCGTGCTTCGAGTACTGTTCTGGCCGGTCATGTCTGATAGTTCATGTTCCCGGGAGAATGGGTGCACATCCAGAAATGTCGGTGTCCTGCATGCAAGCAGGTCTGTATGTTTGAAAGTATACGAATCCCTATATAGGTACTACGATGCACGTACGCATGCAGGTATGTGTATGTATGTAAAACGCAGGTAGGTATGCACACACCTATGTATGTATGTACGTATGTACGTATGTATGTATGCATGTATGTATTCATATAAAGGTATTTATGCATGCATCTATGTATGTATGGTATGCTACGGTATGCTATGCTATGTATCCTATGATATACTTTTGGTCTGGCATGGCGGGGAAGCAGCAGACAAGAGCCCAAAAGCTCTATCTTATGGTCGCAACAGAGATGGAAGCAGGAGTGTTGTTAAAGGCCTGGCTTCCCAGACCTGCAAGCTGTTGGGTGTCGGACCCACAGCTCAATCTTTCTCGCGGCTTCGATTGCAGGTCTGCGGTTCGGTTTTCGGTTCGTGTGTGTGTGTGTATACAAATATGTGTAGATGTAAGTGTATATCTATCTACCTGACTATCTACTGGTCTATCTATTCGTCTATTCTTCTATCTACGCCTCAAGCTTGCACGGCTTTGCGGGCCTGAACTTGATAATGAAGCGACATCATGCGCATCTATATACAATGTACCCGATCTATTGCGGCGTCCATCGGACTCTTATGAAGGAACCATGTAATTCGCGGCTTGGCTGAATTATGGATAGTAAGCCATGTGGTTTCAGGTGAACCTGCACTACTCGACGTACCTGATGGATGGCAGGTGCTCAGATTTCGGGAGCCCGGAGGTAGGAGGGCTTCACACCCCAGAGATCCCAATACCCCTTAATTCAGGAACATACCTTAAATGATGGGGGCCTTAAATTAATACTATGATTTAAGGTATATTCCTTAATTAAGGGGTATTGGAGTCCCCTAAACACTATAGATCCCTTGAAGGAACCCTATAGATCCCTTATAGATCCCTTTAAGGAACCCTAGGTATTCCTTAATTAAGGGGTCTTGGGATCTTTGGGTCATGACCTGAAGCTCTGAATCCGAAAGCCTGACTTGCACCCGCCTGCCGCAGACCCGCAGACACCAGCACTTCCCCAAGCGTTAGAGGGATCTATAAGCTTACTATAAGGGATCTATAGGGGTCACATAATGGATCTATAAGGAATCTTAATATAGGGTTTAGGGTAATCGAAGTGGGTGTTTGCGAAAATAGGGGACCCTAATATAGTCCCTGAATAGTAGGATCCTTATAAGAAGGACCCCCAAATAGGGTACCTCTAATTCTCGAAAACTCCTAAGTGTAAACTGTAAACTCCATTTCAAAAATCGCAGGACCAGAAATCCATACAGGAAGTGACGGCGCCCTAAAGCCCCAAAGCCCTAGAACCATGGCCTCAAGCGCAACCTAAAACTCCACAACCCTACACCGCAAATCCCTAAACCCGAAACCCTTAAACCCTTAAAAAAAAAACTAAACCCCCAAACCTCAAAGCCAAGACAGGGCCAAAATCGCAGGCGTGTGGACACCAGCCGACAGGGGAAGAGGTCGATGCCATGCGCCTTTCAGTTGGGCAAGCAAGATCAGGCCCGACTGGTGGGTTTAGGGGTTTAGAGATTGGGGGTTTAGGGGTTTAGAGGTTTAGGGTTTAGGTTTACAGGTTTTTAGGGTTTAAGGTTCAGGGGTTTAGGGGTTAAGGGGTTTAGGTTTAGGGGTTTTTAGGGTTCAGGGTTTAAGTTTAGGGGTTTAGAGGTGAAGGGTTTAGGGTTTAGGGGTTTTTAGGGTTTAGGTTTAGGGGTTTAGGGTTAAGGGTTTAGGGGTTTAGGGTTTAGGTTTAGGGGTTTTAGGGTTTAGGGTTTAAGTTTAGGGGTTTAGAGGTGAAGGGTTTAGGGTTTAGGTTTAGTGGTTTTTAGGGTTCAGGGTTTAAATTTAGGGGTTTACCCAGAGATCCCAATACCCCTTAGTTCAGGAATATACCTTAAAAATCAATTAAGGCCTCTATGATTTAAGGTATGTTCCTTAATTAAGGGGTATTGGGATCTCTGGGTAGAGGTTAAGGGTTTCGGGTGTAGGTTTAGGGGTTTTTAGGGTTCAGGGTTTAAGTTTAGAGGTTTAGGAATTAGGTTTAGGGGTTTCGGGGTTTTTAGGGTTTAGGGTTTACGTTTAGGGTTTAGGGGTTTTGGCTTTGGTGTTTGGGGCGATTGTTCGTGGGCTCGGGGATGTAAGGCTGTGCAGTTCTTGTGTTTTGAAAAACCCTAAACCCCTAGACCCCTAAACCGTAAACCCCGAAACCCTAAGCCCCTAAACCCCTAAACCCTAAGCCCCTAAATCCCTAAACCCCTAAACCCCTAAACCCTAACTGCATCGTTGAATGATTCGGGCCGGTCTCGCTGCTGTCCATGCACGCAGATCGAAGGGCCCTAGAGTAACCCAGCGATCCCAAGACCCCTTCATTCAGGAATACCTAGGGTTCCTTAAAGGGATCTATAAGGGATCTATAGGGTTCCTTCAAGGGATCTATAGGGTTTAGGGGACTCCAATACCCCTTAATTAAGGAATATACCTTAAATCATGATATCAAGCCCTCTATCATTTAAGGTATAGTCCTTGATTAAGTGGTATTGGGATCTCTGAGTACCTACATAGCGACCCCTTTACGGCCTATGTGTATGCTATATGGGCACATGGAGCCTTAGCATGTTCTGGTTTACCCTTGACATCCGTAAAATCCGTAAACCAGCCGAGGCAGGGTGGCGTGACGCCCTGCCACAACTTCCAAACTGGGTTCTTGTTCAGGGAGTTCATATACCCGACCATAATAAGGAAACCACATTACTTGCTATCGATCCTTATGAGGGTAACTTAAACTGAACTCCTTACCAAGTACCCAAAAAAGGGGGTCTCGCATCTCCTGGGCTATCAGACGACCTTGTTTGCGACAAAGCTCCCTATACATCAGAACGTCGGGTCTCCGTAGTAGGAAGTATTCTGATGGTTTGGGTAAGTTTCCATCCAGTATAGGTGCTTACGAACCCGCGAAGTATCCCCTAGAAAAGGTACTTAGGAAACCCGTAAATTATCCGCCAATAGGGTCCTTGGGAATCCTTTGGGAAGGAGATTTGGCGCCCTAGGCCAGAGCCATACACAAGCACATGCGCTCAAAGACGTATTTCGTAGATTCCGCCCGTACAGACATGCGTGCTCACCAATGTTGCACGGACTGTTGACTGAACTGATCCAAGTGCTAGTGTGTTCCATTGTTTGTTCTGTCTCGGTATGATTTAGGTACTGATCACCTTCTCGAGTATGTTGAACGCTCAAGGGTGAACATGAACATACTTCCCAAAACTCCCAAGGCCAAAGTACCTAATTCTCATATACTCTCCCAAATAGTAACCTACATACCGATTATCCCAAACCCGAGTACCTGATTATTGGGTGCTTTGGACCTTTAGGGAACTCCCAAGGCTCAAAACCAGACGTACTCCTTCCCAGGGCGTCGAAGCATGGCAGCTTGCAGTGCAGACCATGAGCTGCGGCGAGGTCGGAAAGTGGTGCTTTCGTTGGAAGCAACCGAAGCCCTAATTACTAAAGCCTTAAACCCTAGGGTCTATCCAAACTCCACAATTAAAGAATGGAGTCCATAGCTGAGAAGCCCTAAGCCCTAATGCGTAAACCACAATCCCTGAACCCAAACTCCAAAGCTCCAGTTCCTGAACCTCTCCATAAGGGTTTAGGGTTTAGGGCTTATAAGGCTCCAAGTGTACCGGTTTAGGGTTTAGGGTTCTAGCTAGTCGTACTTCGCATCGGGGCCTGCAGTCAGCAAATGGTACTATAGGCTATAGGGGCCTGAATAATTACCAATACTCTTGTGGGGGTTCCTTATTATGACTATAAAATACAAGAGATAGCCCAAAAGCCTAGTCTAATTGTTAAGGCCCCTACAGTACCTATCTTGGGCTGGCTGGAGCCCCAAACCTCTCGGCAGGTGGCATGGCTTCAGTGTCCGGCCCGCTACGCTTATGGAAGCCGAGGGGTACCCTGGCTTCTCACATGGGTGGTTGTCAAAGTTAGGGTCCCTTTTTCGGTCCTTATTCTTTTACGGCACTTAATATTTAGGGTACCCAAAAAGGGACCACAATTTCTGACAAGTACCCTCATGGTTTCAGGGTGTAGCTGAGCTTAATACCCAGACCCTTCACCTACCCGCTATTCCACGCTTTTGGGCTTGTTTGAAGGTACGCCTAGTTCAAGGACTGTCCTGTCATAGAATATAGAAGCCTGAACGATCAAAAACGCAATGTGTTACGTCCTATGTTTCATGATTACGGCATAAGCCCTTCTCTACTTGGAGGTTCATCGGTAGTTATAAGTGGGGTTATAAGTCCCCGAATTTGGGTTATAAGTATAGCTACCCTACTTATAACCCTACTTATAACTACCCATGAACCTCCACGTAGTTATTGATACCTGAAGCTGCTGGGGTTCGGAGGAGAAGCCCTATGAACCTTGATCCTTGAACCCAAAGCCCTATAAATCCTAAACCCTTGGCCTTGAGCCCTACCGTAAACCTCAAGCCTTAAACCCTAAACCCAAGCAACAAAAGAACCCTAAACCCTGGCTCTTGAGGCTCCAAATATCCCTGCAGATGCAGATGTCTGGTTCTGCCTGGAGTTGACCAGCACAAAGGCACCGGGCACTGTGCGGTGCTTTGCCTGCCATAGCTTTTGTTTAGGGTTTAGACCGGATATTAGGGTTTAGGGTTTAGACAGGCGAGACGGGGAAAATAAAGTGACAGCAGCGATGCTTGTTATGATAAAGAGCTTCTTGATCTTGTTGCTAGTCATGAGTATGCTTCATGTTCCTACTACTGCGATACAACACTGTCAGACTTCCATTGCCACTACAAATTACAGTAGCAAGCTTGTCCTTTTTTACCATGGCTACCATCGTTGCAAGTACTACCGTGTTTGTTGTGCCTTCGCTGTGTTCTGTGGGGCCTTTGCGCTGGCGTAGGCGATAACCCAGACCCCCGGGAGGATCTAGGAAGTAGGGTTTAGGGTTAGGAGTTTAGGGTTTAGGGGTTTAGGGTTTAGGATCTAGAAAGTAGATCCCCCAATTTGGGGCCCTGTACTACTCAGGGTACTCTAAAGGAACCCCCATGAAGGGATCTACTTTTTGGATCCTCCCGGGGGTCTGGGAACACTTGACGTTGCTGGTGCGTAGTGGATGAAGCATTCGGTCGGGGCTCTTGTGGAAGTATGCTAACTCCCTAAGGGTCCAAGTACCCAACTAGTAGGGTTTCAGGCTCCAAAAGCCATTCAGAGTATGGATTTTGGGCCCTAACACCCTACTATTTAGGTACTTGGACCCTCTGGGACTCAGTCTTTCGTTCCGCACGGTCGCGGGTTGGCCTTTGGAGATGCAGGATGTCCGACGAGACGTTAGAGTTTAGAGTTTACGGCTTAGGGTGTTTGAATGCATTGCTGCGCCTTATGGCATTCGGGGTCTAGCGTCTCTTAGGCTCTCAACCCTAGCTAGACAACCTTAAACCAAACCCGAGTCTCCACCTGTACCTTGTAACACCTACCTTGCTAGAAATCCTGATTGTTACACAAATATAGCTTCTATATTTACTTCCTTAAGGCAGGTGTTTTGAGTCCACTGGTAAACTCTAAGAAGCCTGAGGTTCCTGAGTCGTGTGGCGGATGCTTTGGATGAAGCAGAGAAGCACATGGAGGCAGCATGCGGGACAGTACCAATATTATTCTTCAGATATAAACATCATTTTGTAGAATAGCTGTATGTATGTACACATAACTATACTCGCATATACTAGCACAGGCTGCCCAAAACCATCATCTTATTATTCAGGCCCCTATGTTAAGGCCTGGGGGCTTCAGGAAGTTCTTGCCGGATCAGGATTCACAGGGGGTGCGGGGTCCTGGACCTTCAGTGCTGAGGTTTCGGGCTGACGGTCAGAAAGCGTTCAGGCCGTGGTTTAGGCATCCCAGACCCCTTGGAGGATCTAGAAAGTAGACCCCCCCTAACTTGGGGCCCTATACTACTAAGGGTACTTTGTAGGAACCCCCATTAAGGGATCTACTTTTTGGATTCTCCCGGGGGTCTGCGATGGGGTGGAGGACCTCATGCGGGCCTCATCTGTCGCCTTGTCTCATTCGCACATTCGAGGCGTCAGGTTTGAATGCCACAAGAAGCATCTGCCAACCCTACAAGGCCGTTGGAGTAGTTTTCACATCTGAAACGCATGGGCCTTCAATCCTATGCTCCCCGGAGAAGATGTCATCTAATTATCCCGAAGCCTTCAAACCAGAATCCGAAGGACTCCCCTTACTTAAAGCCCCAAGTGCGAGGTCCTAGCCCTGGACAGTGTGAATCGCGGCTCACAAATGTTCAATTCATAAGGGGATCCCTATAGCTATTACGCGGGATACTTTCCCAAATCATAATCGATATTCCACATATAGAAACCGTACGTTCTACTATGTAGGAGCCCTATAGTTATCAAGGAACTTGCATAAAGGTACTTAGGGCCCTTCAGTTGTCGCCCCAAGACCTAGGCCAAAGCGGAGACACTGCATGAAAAGTAGGTGGGGTTAAGGGTCCCTTGCACAATGAAAGGCGTGAGATGTTTCGTCCCCCGCCGAACATGGGGGCCTCATTGGTTAGAATAGATCTTGGTGGTATACTATACTGCAAGCATAGTCGGCTATTGGTAGTTATTCGGCTTCTATATTGGCTTACTCCCGTTTGTTGAGACGTTTGGTGCCAGGTGGGACGTGCAGACATCAAGCGCCAGGCTTTCGCGCAGGCAAGGCAAGCCTTCCGCCGTGCCGTTGCCGCCGTGCCGGACTGCCAGGGGATTGCTTTGTAGGGGTGTGGTCGGTTTTGTAGGTCTTCTCTGGTTTTGCAAAGTTGGTTAAATTTCACCGGTATAAGTCGATACATGGCAGAAGGTACGAGCAGCGTGAACAATGTCCATTGTGATCCACGTGAAGCTGTAGCTAGGGTCAAATTCTCGCTGCTGCAGCTTCTACAGCAAGAGAGATTCCTTGTCTGGTGTTCGCTTTCTCTTCGTTTCCTGGGAAAGGAAAGCTTTATATAGATCCCTTGAGCCCGTAAGCCGCAATCCCTCAACCAGTATAGAAGCATGTAAGGAACCAAAGACCCTGAACGCCAAAATCCAAGACTGGTTACTGACATCCGTGGTAGAAATGCCAAACCCCAAACAAAACTGGTTATTGACATCCATGGCAGTCCTCCAGCACCGCTGGTCGGCTGTATCCGGGAGTTTCGATAAAGACTTCCGCATGATGAAAATCTAGTCCCCTAAACCCTAAACCCTGAACCCAAAACCCCAAAACCCTGAACCCGTAAGCCCTAAACCCCTAAACCCTACACCCCTAAGCCCTTAACCCCTAAACCCTAAACCCCTGAACCCTAAACCCTTATCCTGAAGCCCCAATCCGACACCCGAAGCCTTAAGCCCGAATCCTGAAGGCGTAGGGCCCACAGCTTAGGGTTTAGGGACATACTGTTGATGGACAAAATCCTGCATGAGCCTAAGGACTCTAAACTATGGGAACTATGGTATATTCCTTATAATGGGTAATGCAGGGCTTTGTCCATCAACAGTAGTTTTGGGCCGTTAGGGGTTGGGGACTTAGTGGGTTCAGGGTTTCGGTTTCAAACTGGGGGTTAGGAGCTATGTGTTAGTGGTCAAGGGTTTATCTAAGCCATTTACAGGTGGGTAGTTATTAGGTGGGTAGTTTCCCATAAGCCTCCCATACCACTCCTATAAGGTAAAAGGGTCTTATGGGAGTACTATGGAAGAGGAACTACCCACCTGTAATGGGCTTCTAGTTTAGCGTTGAGGGGTTAGGCCTTAGTGTTTATCGTGCTTTAAGGTTTGGGATTCGCCCTGAGGACAAGCTGCTGCTGAAGCAAAGCGATGTGGCCTGCCTACACCTTACTTGAAGGTGCATGGGTATTTGCAGGTCTAGTTATAGGTACCGGAACTATGCCTCTACGTAATGATCCGTGTAGCTACCCTATTTATCTCCCGACTCAGTATATAAGCCCTCTGTTCCTGCAAGTTAGCCCAAGAAGCTTGTGCCCTGAGAGCCGTCCATCCCAAGCACCCAGTCCGTAAAGCCTACAACCCATCCCTGTGCTCCTGTTTTTAGGGCCAGGGTTCGGGGTTGAGGGCTTAATCGCTTTATTCACTGGCCAAGCCCCTGTGTAGAGTTTTGGGATTTAGGGCTTAGAATTCAGGCAGGTTTTAGGGTTTAGCCACCCAAGCCCGAACTGAGGCAGGAATGCTTTCGTAATCTTGGATGTATCATTGCACGGCTGAGGAAATCATCACACGCTTCGCAAAGATGGAGCGAGCATCCTTGCTCAACCAGGCAGGGACGCCATGTGTAGAGCTTAGCATTGGGGTGTTCATCGAGTCTCTCATTGGAAGTCGGAATAACAAGATGTTTTTCCAGTCTCTGTATGAGTTCCGTACAGTAGCAGACCTGGTAGCCCTTCAACGCCTGAAGCCTGAAACCCTAAAGCCCCTCATCTCTGAAGACTTCTGAGTCAAAAAAACCGGAACCTGGGATGTTGGAGTCTCCGGCCGGCATGAGCGATCGTTCGAATGGGATAGCAAAGAAGCGGTTGAGAAAGTTCTCGAACACAAGCACGTTTTAATTAAAGCCCTTTTCGCAGGGTCGGGCAGGTCGCATATACCGAAGCAGATACAAGATAAAAAAATATTGTTCGTAACACCCACGAATAATTTAAATCAAGAATGCGGCATGCAAGCAGCAACCATTAGCACATTCTTTTCTATTCAAGTCGGCGAAGAAAACTGAAGGACTTCGATTCTTCTTTTTATGATGTTATCGTTTTTGACGAAATTTATTTTAACAGTATTGCCGTCTTAGCAAGAAAAAAACATTTGTAGAAAAGAACCGCGACAAAATTATCGTAGCCACAGGTGACGAACATTAATTACGAGGCGTTGTGGATATAACTAACACACAAGATTATAGGACATACTTAGACAGTTGTATAAAACAAATATTTAAACGTTACATTTATTTAGAAGAATGCAAGAGACTAACCAACGAAGAAGACAGAATCAAATTAAAAAGCATTTATCACGATATTTTTTAAAACGGACATGGCAATTAAACAGATTATGGAGAAATATTTTAAATACACAGAAGAGATAGAACTCATTGATAATAACGTAGCATACACCAACGAAACATGTAGAAAAATATCGCAACATATTAGAAAAGAAAGAGGTATAATCGAAGAATATGTCGTAGGCGATGAAGTTATTTGTCGTGTTTATACGAGATACTGGATGTCTAAATTTGACGTTTATCTTAAGTTCAGAATAACGGAAATAAATAAGAATATGGTAACACTTGAAAACGTGGCTACGGGGCTACAACAAGAAATTAATCTAAAGAAGTTGAGACACAATTTTATCTATGCTTCGTGTTACACATGCCATAGTAAACAAGGTTGTTCAATTGATGGCGATGTTATTGTTTACGATTGGATGTAAAATTACGTTTCTAAAGAGTGGCTTTATACAGCAATCACAAGAGCCAAGGATTTAAACAAAATGAGGTTTTACAAACACGAGATGACAAGAGACATTAAAGAATCTGAGATTCAAAGGTATTTTAACCAAAAGGTTAAACAATACAAATCACAAGATATAGAAGCGGGACGTTCAATAAATGAAGAAGACTACGTAAACGTTGAGTGGCTCATGAGTCAATTAAAAAACAGATGCACTGACTGCAACGAACCCTTTATAGTTGAAAGGCTTGACCACAAGCTCACTACCAATTTAACAGCTAATAGGTTGAACAATGACAAGGCACATTATATAAGCAACTGCAATAGCATGTGTGTCCTTTGCAATTGTTGTGCAAGATAATTCGATAATATATATATATATATATATATATATATAATATATATATATATATATAATATAATATAATATAATATAATATAATATAATATAATATAATATAATATAATATAATATAATATAATATAATATAATATAATATAATATATATATATATATATATATATATATATATTATATATATATATATATATATTATCAATGTCAGACAAAAATACGATTATTTCTGATATTTATTTTGATAGAAGCGGCTTTGGAAGCGTTGCCACAACATTTAAAGATGCTAAGGCTAAAGATAAGAGTATTACGTTAGCAGATGTTAAAGCATGGTTTTAAAAGAATCTGGATAGGAAAAGGCCAATGTCGGGATTTAATTCGTTTATTGCACCTTATGCGTATTATGAATATCAAATAGATTTATTTTTCATTGCGAAGAAATCCCGTGTATATCCCGAGATAGAGGTAGGAGATAGTGTAAAAATAATTCGTAAAAAGGGCATAGGTGAAAAGGAGCGCACTTCGCATTGGCTGAAAACCCCCCAAACAGTAAAACGAATAGATAAGAAATTAGGGTAAAACTATTACTATCTGGATCATGATAAGAGGGGTTATTTGAGGCACGAATTATTAAAGGTGTAAGTCTTGTTCATGCTGATATGTTGTTGTCTTTTGCTCAATGAGATCAGACTATGTTGCAGGCTCGAATGCTAATGTATCCTTCATCGCAGGCATGATACAGTGTCCAAGCACATCACTTCCCGTTGTACATTAATTCAGCCATGGCCGCTGCAATCACGAGCACGAAGAAGCGGAACCTGTCAGAAGTACAACCTGAAGAGGTGACAAGCTGGGTTCGGGAACAAATGTGTGATTTGGGGTATGATGAAGGCGTCTCAGACAAGATGGCCGCGGCGCTCTCACTTTACAGACCTTCGGCCTTGGCGAACGCTGCCCGAGAGAGTTTGCTGGGTGCGCTGCAACAGACATTCCCAAATGATGTACGGCGGATGATCATGGCCCAGAGCCTTTATGACCGTATCCAGAAGCATATTGCCCAACCACAACCCGTTTCTTGGCAAAGGTTAGTTTTAGTCGTAGCCCGAGTTTGTTGTGTCTTGTTACTTTAATATGTGAAGCAGGGATAAGCAGGGGTTATGTTTCTGTGGTTGCTCTGCTTGGTTTCAGGTTCAGAGCGATGTTTCCGAGAATGTCAAGGCCTTCGCACAGGCTTTGGATGATGCACAGCTGGAAGGGCAAGTTTTGAAAACGGAAACGGGCAGTTTCAAGTTGCCAAACGTCACTGAAATTTGGGACGAGAAGCAGTTCTACGTGCGGGGGTGCTACACAGAAATTGCCAACATCATGTTGAAGAACAAGCCCCCCGTGATGTCGTTGCTGGGCTCATCAGGTATCGGCACGTCCAATTTTATGGTATATTTAATCTGGCGCCGCTTCCAAGACTACGAGCTTAAAGAGTTCCCTGTTTTTCTGCACCAGAGGGACGACATCTTTCGGTTTAAGAAGGGCGAAGAGCCGAAGCTGGTGGATGTCGGGACCTTGCAGTCAGTGCCTGAAAAAGCTTTGTATATCATGGATGCCGACATTGATGTGGAACATGGGGACATGGGGTCTCTTGCCAGTCTTTGTGGATTACCTCTGCACGGAGGCCGGAGACCCCAGCTTCTAACACCGAGCATTTTAAGACTGCTGACAGCTTGGATGGGCAGTTCTTTATGCCACCATGGGCTTTGGAGGAGATGTTGCATGACGAAGTCATGGCCTTACACAAGCTGAATGAGTCAGTTGTCAAGGAGCGCTTCGTCATCTTTGGTGGCACTGCGAGGCTTGTGTTGCGACTGAACGAGACAAGGGCAGTCAATGACAAGGAAAAGCTCGTGGAGGCCGTGCAGTCGGCAGATGCGCTGCAATCCCTGAAAGTATTGAATGACATGAAAGCAGTAAGCAAAACGACGCACTTGCTGGTGAAGATGCACCCAAAGCGGAAGTTCAGCGCGTTTGATGTGCAGTTGTCTTCTCCCTATGTTCGGCAAGAGCTGGTGAAGCGAAACAGAGCAAAACGAGCCCAAGCTCTTTGGGATCGTATTGATGACGGGATGATTACGGGCATCGGTTTTGCTTTGTTTGAGGAATAGTTCCACCAGTTCATGCAGGACAAGTCCATCGACAAGTTCAAGCTCCGAGCCAGATGCTTGACAGCTGATGCTTGACAGCTGATGGGACGGGGTCTGAAACGACACAAGAACTCCAAGGTGGTCTTCGAGGAGAGCTGATTTCAGGCAATCCCAAAGCAGACATCAAGGATGGCAAATACTACCAGCCGCAGAGCAAAAACTTTCCAGCCTTCGACTCATGGACCTCAGAGGGCGTCTTTCAGCTGACGATTGCCGATACACATGACATCACTTTCCATGACAGTGGCAAGACAATCGAGCTGACGAAGACGCAGGCGTACAAGATTGTGGATGCACTTTTCCAGAAGCATGAGAGGAAAGCCAAATTCTTCTTTGTCGTTCCGCAGTTTCAGTATGACAATGGTTGGGAGACTATGCAGGCAGTGAAACAGCCAGAGATGGCTGAGAAGATTGAGCAGTGGGTTGTGTGCTTTGAACAGAACCTTCCGAAGTGAAGTGGAGCAGCGCGCTCGTGACCAAAATGAGGGAGTCCGACATCCCCCAGTTCAGGGTTAAGGTCTTTTGGGTTTTTTCTATTAGGGTCTTAACCCATATTAGGATATTGGCTATTTTATGGATAAGGTTATGATGTTTAGGTGCTTTGGGTTTTGAGTCGTGCTATGGATAGTTGTGTTGGTTTGGTAGGTTGCTTTGTTTCGGGATTATTGTATTTGTTTGGGTGGTGCTTTGTGTATTGGTGGGGTGGGTTTCCCTTGGTGAAGATAGGGGGTTTCTTGGTTCAAGATAGGGGGTTTCTTGAGTCAAGATAGGAGGCTTCTTGAGTCAAGTTCTGGGGCTTCTTGATTCAAGACAAGGGGTCTCTTCAGGCTGGGCATCGCTACGTTTTCGTAAGAGACACCTTGCCCCAGTTATGCATATTATTATTCTTGGGTTTAGGGCATATGGTTAATCGTATTAAAGGGATTGGATTTTGGGTTTTACGGCTTGGCTTTGGGCTAAGGAATAGCGGGGATTTATGGGGGAAGGTGGTTTTTCTGGGTTTTAGGCTTGGGATTTTGGGAATATGGTTTTACGGGGATTTGGGCTTGGGATTTTGGGCTTGAGATTTGCGGGTTGATATTTGGCTTATGGGTATAACGGGGTTTTGGGAATATGGGTTTCGGGATTTTTAGGTTGATATTTGGGCTCGGGTTTGGCCAAATGGTTCCATAGAGGTCTGGGGCAGGGTGTCTGCTAACTCCCCACACACACACACACACCCGCACACACACACACACACACACACACCCGCACACACACACACACACACACCCGCACACACACACACACACACACACACACCCGCACATACACACACACACCCGCGCACACACACACGCACACGCGCAGACGAAGACACGCACAGACAAAGACACACGGAGACAAAGACGCACGGAGACACAGACACGCAGACACACAGACACTACACACTGCAATCCTGAACCTTCAGCCCAGATCCATCCTAATGTCACGAATGGGTTTAGGTAGTTTAAGTCTTGGGGTTTACCAAAAGCCCTTCACGTACTGCAAACAGGCCCACTGCTGCCTCAAGCTCGGCGATTCCGTGCCGGACGTCAAGTCGGAACAGCAAGCCCATTTTCGTGAAGCTCTCCAGGCGCACCCGGTTGTTGAGCTCTCTGGAATTGCATTTTAGGGCTCAGGGTTTCGGATGATGACGGTCACTCTAGACCCTAAACGTCTCATGCAAAGATCTTTGCGTGTTTTCCCGCACCGTCCGGGTTTGGGATTCAGGTTGCACGGCCCAGGGTTTTAGCTAATGGATAAGTCTTCAGGCTACTGAAACATGAGCCCGGCATCGTGGAAAGACATCATCAGCCAAACACCCTCAATGTATATTCGTATCGCCCCGATGTGACACCGTAAACGGGCCCGGCCGTGACGAAGGATCTGTGAAACTCAGCGAGCCCGTGATCAGTGTAACATTTGTGCATACATAATCCCAGAGGGTCCATTTGTACTACCATCATGGAATTAGGTCCCAAAAGACCATCCCTATTATGGCTTTGGGGGCTTAATTCCATAATGGTAGTATGTGGACCCCCTAGGAATGTGGAGCTTTGGGCATCCCGCGTCTTGCGTATGGCAGGTGGTAGTGTATGGTGTTAAGGTTTGCCCGCAGGATTAGTTTGACAAGGCTGCTGGTGTTGTCAAACTGTATACACAGAGAGAGAGAAAGAGAAAGAGAAAGAGAAAGAGAAAGAGAAAGAGAGAGAGGGAGGGAGGGAGGGAGAGAAAGAGACAGAGAGACAGAGAGACAGAGAGACAGAGAGACAGAGATACAGAGAGACAGAGAGACAGAGAGACAGAGAGACAGAGAGACAGAGAGACACAGAGAGAGAGAGAGAGAGAGAGACAGAGAGACGGAGAGACGCAGAGACGCAGAGACGGAGAGACGGAGAAACGGAGAAACGGAGAGACGGAGAGACGGAGAGACAGAGTGACAGAGGGACAGAGAGAGAGAGAGAGAGAGACGGACAGAGACAGACAGAGACAGAGACAGAAAGACAGACAGACCGAAGGACGGGAGGGACGAAGGGGCGGCGCAGAGGAGGCTTCCGCATTAACCCTTTAAAAAGATCCAAAGCCTGAGTCCAAAAAAGTCCGATAAAAGTAAACGGGCTGGATCCTGAACTTGTGAAAAAAACAACAACAAGCAGCAAGCACGGTCACGAGAAGAAGCCTTCCCGTCCAGTGGAAACGTGCAGGATTTCGCGGAGGGGGGCGAATGTCGGGGTCGGAATCATGAAAGTTGTCGTACGGTTGATGATATAAATCCAGCATTACTCATAATAAGGAATATACTATACCATAATTCCCAAAGTTTAGGGTCCTCATCAACGTTAATCGGGGGGTCCGCCCCGCCAGGCTTGCCGAAGCCTCTTCGACCGGCACGGCCCGCGTGACGTGCATGCGGAGGGTGGCCGTCTGCCCGAAACCATGGTCCAGGTCCGCTGATCACGGGGGCTTTAGCTTAAGGTGTTTGGGTTTTTTAGTTGAAGGTTATGGGGTTTTAGGGTTTATGGTTTATGGAGTTTAGGGTTTGGGTCCGCTGATCACGGGGGCTTTGCTGGGCGTTCTTCTGGTTGGCTCTTAGGACTTTATATTTTTGGGTTTCTATATGAACTGTAACCAGGAGGCGAAAAGTGTAACCTGTAGGGGTTCAGAAGTCAGCCGAGTTTAGGCGTTTCGCGCTGAATTTCCGGTAGCTCCAAAACCTTCTAGTCCCTGTATCGGCATTTTTTGCCTATTGCCACTATAATGCATGCCTTGACCCGGAAGAGCCTACATTGTTAAGGACTTATACAAGGAAGTCATAATAAGGAACCTTAAAAAGGTAGGTTGTTGAGGGTTAAGGTGGGCTTCACGAGGGAAGGACATGTCCTAGCTCTCGGAAGTGATCAACCCGGCTGCATTTGCCATACAAACCGCTAACCCCTCTACCCTGAATGGCATACTTGGAGGTTCATGGGTAGCTATAAGTAGGGATATAAGTAGGGTAACTATACTTATAACCCATATTAGGGGACTTATGACCTTACTTATAACTACCCATGAACCTCCAAGTACTCTTTATCCTAAGACCTTCACACAACCGAAATGAATCCTTATTTGGCCGCTCGTAGAGCTTTTCAAGTAGCCTTCCAAACTTTAATCAGCGACTACCATTTTAGGTACCTTCCTTAAGTAAACGGTTTCAAAATTAGAGTCTCTGAATGACAGGTCGCCGACTCCATCTGCAAAGCTTCGCAGCTAGAAGAGGCGAGGCGCGGGGGCTTAGTTCTCTAACATGGGGCTAACAATGGTCTAGTTCCGTCTGTAGATTCCTGTAAAGTTTCCCGCTTATGCCGTTAAGCATCAATCCTAATCTAACGAGGCTATTAAGTGGGTAATTAGTTGTCAAAATCATGGCCCCATGTTGGACACCCTGAATATTAGGTGCCGGATGAAAATAGGGACCCAAAAAGGGACCATAATTGTGACAACTACACTTTCAGGGTTCCTTTGAGGGTTCTATAAGGGTTTAGGGTTAAAGGCTCCTTTAAGGGGCCCAAAAAGGGACAACCTATAGTCTCCATTGTAGTTCCTTTTTTGGTTTAACCAAATATATAATTAGGCTCCTATGAGGTAACCCCAAAAAGGAACTACAATGGAGACTACAGGTAGAATTTTGACAACCACCCAAGTCGATCTAAGTCCCCAGAGACTCCCGTATCCCTTAATTAAGGAATATTCCTTAAATTATGGTACGATCCCTTATATGATTTAAGGTATATTGCTTAATTACGGGATATTGGAGTCTCTGGGTCTGGGAGGCTACCAAGTCGATCTGAGGTGCCATGGATGGCGAAGGCCCACTTCCGACGTGGCCTCGCCAAGGACTGCTCCACCATCCTACGATGGGGGCCTTAATAAATAGAATAGGGTTCCTTTAAACGGGGTCTATAAGGGCTACTACAAGGAATCTATAAGGGTACTTACTATACATCCTACCTCAACCTACCAAACCCTACCTTTTTTGCAGGTTCTTACTATACACCTTAATACGGAATTTATAGGGACCCTACAAAAAAGTAGGTTTTGGTAGGTTAAGGTAGGGTTCATTATTCAAGGTCTGTGGCGGGGCTCTCAGTTCTAAATCCCATAAAATCTTTATTCTCCAGCATCCACAGGACTACTAGGTGTCTGGCAACAGCGATAACAGCCCTATAAACGCTGCCCGAAGGAGAAGCTCCGCTATCTGACAGATGCCGTCGCTGACTACGAGGCTTAGGGGGTTGAGGGTTGGGGGTTAGGGTTTAGAGGATAGGTTTTTTTAGGGTTCAGGGGTGAAGGCTTAGGGTTTAGGGAGAAGCCAGCCACATATGGTACGTCAAAACTCCGTGGAAATAGGACAAAGGCACCGTCAAGCACGATTTCGACCCGAAGCCTCGGCTCGACGTAGCAATGATGAAGAAAGAGGGAAAGCATCACGCAACTAAGAGGGGTCTAGGACCCGGGGTAAGCCCTGATTCCCTTTTTTAATTGTTCAGGTCCCCTTTAAACCACAACGGGCACCCTTTCTATTCCTAGGTTACTCTTGGGTCTAGACTAACAAGGGTTCAAGCCAGAGGAACGGAAGTAGCAAGCACAGCTTCGCAGTACAACGCAGTCCTACGTAGTCAAACCTTAACTTTAACTCAGCGCCTGCAGTAATTGCCATCCAATACCAAACCCCCCACAACGACACCATAAAGTACACATCACCGATGCTATCCGATGCTACACCGCTAGACCGGAGTTGCATGCAGCATGCATACTTGAACCGGAATTAGATTTACCAGACTCTAGACGCGAAATCAGGATTCCAGAAGCTAGATCCCCAATCCAAATCTCAACGGCCATGACCCCCAAGCCAAACCCCGAACCAATTGTCCACGTTCAAGGCTGCCTTGTCGCTCGAGCCGACGGACAGCGTCATCTCCAAACAGCTGCTGCCTTAGCCACTAAACCCTAAACTCAAGGCCCTAGACTCTAAACCCTTATAAACCCTAAACCCTAGATTCTAAACCCCTAAACCCCAAACGCTAGATTCTAAACCCCTAAACCCCAAACTCTAAACCCACAAACCCAAACATCCCCAGTGCATGCTTCGGAAGTTTTGGGCGAGGGTTCAAGGCTTTAGAATCTTTAGGGACGGACACTTAGAGCTTGAGTTTGGGTGCTTTGGGTGCTCAAGGAAGGATTTTGGTTATGTCACTTAGCATGTTTCAGTTGGGGTTAGAAGTTGTTGTAACCACGGTTACCCTTGATTGGGGCCTTGGTTGCTAGGTCCCGTGATCCTTCATGTAAAATTCGCCGTGGAGAATTCTCCTAGTTGGGCGTCGTCATAGAAACTGTGTCGGCATTTCCCACAGCGTCCTAATCCTCAGCCCTACGGGCGTGTTCCTGCTCAGTAGTAAGCCTTGCCGGCCTGTTACTGCACAGTTGAATCGCAGAAGTAAGGCTGCAGCTGGTGAAAGCCCGCAAGCAGAAGGCAAGTGACCGGAAAGTTGGTTTGAGATTCCACAGGATCCTAGGTGTTGTTATCGGGGGGATACTTTCCCACATCATCATAATAGTTATTCCGAAGAGACCTCGCATTCTACTATATAGGTATACTTAGGACCCTTCGGGGAGGTTCGGGCTAGAGGGTTTTGAGGGTCTCTGTGAAGGGCGTTCGGTTGTTGTGGGGGAGTCGGATTATACGCCTTAGGTTCGGCAGGTCGGAGGTGTGCTACTTACTAGTCACTAGTCGCAAAGATTTGCACGACAGCAACTCGCAAGGAGAGTCCTTCGGAAGGCGAACAGCGGCACCTTTTCGCCCCAAACCCTAAACCCCACCCAGGACCCAGAGCAGGCCCTTATTCCCTTTTTTGTGGTTCAGGTTCCCTCATAACCCCTTTAAAAACCAAAACGGACACTCTTTTCATTCCTAGGTTATACCCTTAGGCCTAGAACCTTTTACGTCGCATGGGGGTTTCGACACAGGCGGAGCTGAAGCCTACACAGATGTTCGCGGGAATCCTGCAACGCGAGCGGGCAGAACGCGAGCGCGAGGACGGTCTGATTTCGCTGGTTAACCGAAGGGCCTTGAGCAGTTGAGTAGTGTTTTGGGGTTGTGCTGTACTCCAAAAAATGACTATATAGGTTAGAAGCTGCCCCCACCCTATAATAGTGGTATAACAGGAATATAATAGGGCCCTAATATAATCCTATATAGTCCTTAGGTCCTAATTTATCCGACAAGCGCTGTTGCAGTTTCGGAGGCCCATGCAAACCCCAAACCCAAGACCCTCGCCCATGGGCTCGTGCAGGCTACAGGCGGGGATTTGAGAAGGACCATGTGGGTCTGACAAGCGTTGTAGTAACGTTAGCGCCCGTGGCAGCAGTAGTAAGTCGTAGCACCATCAAAAGCTCAAGCTGGTTGCAGGCCAAGCGCAGGTCACAGTCACTTCGATCATATTAGCACACTCTTCTTCGGAAGAACGGACGGAAAAGTATGCCTGGCATTGGACTGAATAGAGATTTTGATGTTTGGGACATATTCAATGTAGAAACCTCCTACAGCCCGTTGCAATCGCGATTTTTGGAGGGTCTACAAATCAGGGCTTTTTGTAATGCTAGGACCCAGAGTAGGCCCTTATTCCCTCTTTTGGTGTTTAGGTTCCCTTGTAACCCCCTTTGAACCAAAAGGAGCACCATTTTTATTCCTAGGTTACTCTTCAGTCTAGAATTTCCCCTGCAGGAGGCTGCTGCGGACTTGGCAGCAAGAAAGCAGCGTCGCGACTTGGCACTACTACCAGCCCCAACAGGATACCTCAAACTCAACCTGGACCGTATAAAAGCTTCCTTTTAGGATTCCCTATAATGATTTCCTTATATAAGTCCTTGACAAGGTATATAGGTTATTTTGGGGTTTAGGAAGAGGCTGAAGCTTGTCCGGTTATGAGTTATAGGCCGCTTCTTAGAACAGCTACACCCGCAACTACCTACGATTGAAGAAGCCCAGAAGTCCAGGTCTCCAGGAGCACCCTAAACCCTACTTAAAGGATCATGGGACTTAGTAACTGGGGTTCCTTAAAGGGTTCCTTAAAGGGCTCCTTTAAAGGGATCTATAAGGGTTCTAGAAGAGGGGTTTTAGGGTCTACTTAAAGGATCATGGGACTTAGTAACTCGGGTTATAAATACAGTAACTATACTTATAACCACTTAAAAGCCCACTTAAGGTACTTATAACCGGACTTACTAAGTCCCATGATCCTCCAAGTATACCCTAAATCCTAAACCCTAAGCCGTCGAAGCCCCAATAAAGCCCACAGAACAGTCATGAAGCCCGAAGCCGCGATCAAAGCCTTGGGGACCCATCATGCCTTTGAGGTTTGGAGTTTTGAGGGCAACAGCCTCCTTAACCCACCAAACCCTACTTTTTTGCAGGTTCTTATTATATACACCTTAATATGGAGTTTATAGGGAACCTACAAAAAAGGCAGGTTTTGGTAGGTCAAGGTATAAACCCTAAACCTGAAATCTGCTGAAGCGTGTTGCCAAGAGCCCCAAGTTGCCCAAGCACCCAAAGCCATAGACCCGATCCTAGAAAGCGCTTAAATTCCAAGTGCCAAATGCCATATCAAAACATAGTTATGTTAAACCCGAAACCCCAAACCTCGAATGGACTTCTGAAGCCGAAACACCAAAACCCTGAAACCCCAAACTCAAAGCACCGCGCAGGGGAGGAGCGGCTACAACGAGAGGCGGAGCAACGCGAGCCCCAGAAGCCTACTGAGGCTCGAGGGGTGTTATATTAGGGTTCCTTTCAGGCCTTCCTTAGGGATTCCTGGAAAGGGTTCCGAAGAGTTTGCCATATTTATTTTAGGGTTCCTTTGAGCTTTAGTGTTTTAGGGTTTACGGGCTTAGGGTTTAGGGTTTGGGGGTTTCTCTTAACAGATTCATTGAAGGGTTCCCACGGGTTTGAGGCTTTTTGCGGATCAGGGTTCAGGATTTGATGTGCAGGGCCTCGGGTTTCAAAGTTGGTGAGTGGCTTTAGGCTGCAGGTTCCTGGGGTTTGCGAGGTTAGAGCATAGGGCTACTTAAGATTTTGGCACTTATCGTGTTGAGCTTCGGAGGATTGGAGTTTAGGGTTCAATGTGGGATATGCCGCTGTTACGAAGGGTACCACTGCTCAGTGACAGTGAACACCCGTTCGCTCATACCCAAAGGGTCCTATGTACTGTTATGGGGAATACTTCCCCAAATCATAATTGTAATTCCTAATATAGAAACCCTACATTCTACTATATCGGTACTTTGGACCCTTTGGGATAGGGACTTCAGCTAGGGCCCTTCTACAAGCGCCATAGCCGAGACCTGCCGAAACCTTCAGCCCTGAGTTGGGTGCATGGTTGCAGGCCTTACGATTTCTTAGTAGCTGAGTTTATGAACTTTAAACTTTTTGGGACAATGAAACCCTCTTAACTGAAAGTTTAAACTTTTTTTGGCTTATGAACTCGGCACCTAAGATTTAGGCCTGGTGTGTCAGGTATCCAAGGGTAAAAGGAGGGACCCTTAATAAGGACCCCTAGGAATGTACCCTTAATATAGCTATTATATACCCATTATATAGCCCATTATAGGGTAGGGGTCCCCATTAAGGGTCCCTCCTTTTCACCTTTGAAGGTATGTGTTGCGATTTGTGAGTACTTGAGGGTTTACGGCTTGCATGTTGCGATTTGCGACTACCAGTCGGTATGTCTATAGGGCTTGGTGATAGGCTAGGGAATACGCCGCTAGAAGAAGATGGTTCCTCTCTTCGATTCCTGCATATGTATATGTATATATAAACATATATATAAATATATACACACACACCCACACAATTGATCACCATTGCTTGGGCTCTGATCAGGTCGGCAAACCTTACACAGCACCCGAAGGTTTTCATGTTTTTGCAGTTTGACGATGTTTTGCGGCCTGGAGTGAAAAGGTACGGGGTTTGTGATTTTCTTGATTTGCAAAGCTCCGAATATGAGCATGTCTTTTCTTGTCAACAATGCAGAAGGACCCCGCGAGAAGCAAAAAACATCAGATCGTGGGGTGCAGATGGCAGGCACACGACAAATCGGAGGCCTCAAAAGGTGGGATGGAGGTAGGTAGGATGAAGGAGCATCCCACCTACCTTCATCCCACCTTTGGAGCCATTTCAACAACATAGCAAGGTCACTATCAAGCTCAGAATCGTCAGGCTATTGCTCTACTGATATGGGGGCCTAAATACTTAACAATACTATTTTGGGGGGGAGGGGTCCTTACTATAGCACAATCGGCCCCAAAACCATATTCTAAGTGTTAAGGCCCCTATAGTACCCACTTGAGCCCTTTCCGAATTTCGATGGCTAGTGTCACATGCCATTCTACATCCTAAATTCGCAACCAACACAACCGATGGTCTCTTTAGCGGGAGCGCGCACACGGTTGCTTCGGAGTTCTCCGAAAGAAACCCGAGACCTAGCACCGCAAACCCCAACCTATGTTCATAGTTAAAGACAACTTGGTAATGACTAGACAGATGACAACCCTAAACCGTAAACCCCTAAACCCTAAACCCCTAAACACAAGACCCAGCCCCAAGCCTGGGACTTAGAAACAAACACCAATGAATGCCAATGAGGCCTTAGACGAATACTCTATAAGGAACCCTATACAAGCCTAGAGACACCCCTGTACCAGCCTTCAAGCAGACTTCTCTACGCCATTTTGTCACCTAAGCAAGGGTATGGACCTACCTGAACCCTAAAGAACTTACCCTTTTTAGGGCTCTTTCTTACCATTTCCTCAGCCCTAAGCCCCAAACCCGGGTTCCTTTGAGTATGCGATATGTCAGGGATGGGACTGAGTTCTCCTCCTCTCTTAAAGACCTTCTGGTTGGGACCCTGCGAAGCAAGTGGAAAAAGGAGACCCCCCCCAAACAAAAAAGAAAGGTTCCTTCTTATGATTTCCGTAAACACGTCCTTACCCTAAACCCTAAATCCCAAAAACCAAAATCCTTAAAGCAGTAGCTTAGCTCCTGTCGCCCCTGCGAGGCCTCGGAGACCTGAGTTCCGCACGGCTCAGCCCTTCGAACTTCTTCGTCGACCTCCCAAGGTGCCAAGGTGGCACTGTGGGAAGTGTCGCAATGAGAAGTGCTGCTGATGGGCAAAATCCTGCATTACCCACTTTAGGAATAGACCATAGTTCCCACAGTTTAGCGTCCTTGGGGTCATGCAGGATTTTGTCCATCAACAGTGGTAGTGTGCAGCAGTAGTCGTGGTTATATAGCGAGAGCAACAGTATGTGCAACAGCAGCACAATGAAAGTAAGAGGAGAAGAGAAGCATTAGCAGTAGTAGTAATAGCAATAGCGCAGCAACAAGCGCCTTCTGGGCCTAGAGAGGTAATATGGAGGCCTAAATAATTACCTATGCTATTTTGGTGGTTCCTTATTCTAGTCATAGTAAAATGGGCCCCCAAAACCCTATTCTAATTTTTAAGGCCCCTATAGTATCTATCGATAGACATTGTTGGAGGGGTCACCAAAAGCTACAACCCAGGTACTCGCAGCTCCCAGCACAGCTCCCGAGTCGCGGAGAACGCCAAGGTGATGCCGTCGGAGCTCGGGGTCCACAAAATCGGGCCAGGAAGAGCACACCTTAGGGCTCCAAGTGTCAAAGAGCACCTATTTTTGGGGTTTAAAGCCTATGTAAATAGTACGAACCTACTTTGGGCTATTTGGAGCCGCAGACACAGCAACAGAGCACTCCGGCCTGAAGACAGGAGTGCACCCAACAAATCATACGAGCATACTAGCATATGGTTTCCGTTCGGGAGCTTGAAACCGTACGATGCCTACACCTGCTTGAACCTACATCTCAAGGGTGTCTCTCCAAGCCAAGCTGTAGAGGAGCCTTCTGTTGACATCAGCAGAGGTTCTCCAAACTATAGGGCCCCTCTCCAATTTCCACATCACACGAGTGATGTTCGCCTTTTCCGTGAAGGCTCAAAGGATCCTCACAGAACTCCCCCGGTGCCCTTCTGACATCTCTGGTCCCGGCCTTCCGGAAGGATGTCCGAAGGGCGGGAGAGCGCTGACGCGCGCTGAGGGCCGTGTGAGAAAAGATGGCGTTGGACCTGCGCTCTCGCCTGTGAATGCTTTCGGTTCAGGGCTTACCTACTAGGTAGCTTTGGGACATGTTTACATTTTCCCTTATTGGGCTTAAGAGGATCTTATTTACTAATATTTTTCAAAGGGTTCAAAAGCCCCACCTCGTGTATCACTCCTAAAGAGCCTAGCCTAACCTTTTAGGGCTCCCTATTCTGATTCCCTACAGTTGTAAAAACCTATAACGAGGTAGGTCATCGCGGGGTCTAGGTGCAGTGGTGTGTAAGCAGAGTTCTTCATATCTCCGAAAAGGCACCGGGAGCTGTATAGATAAGTATAGTACCGGGGCCTTAATGATTGGAACAGGGTTTTATCTGTGCTTGTGGTGTGGTTTGTAAGTTTTTGCGTGTTGGTATTGATTGAAGGCTCTTTGCTAGGGTCTGCAGTAGAAGCCCAAAAGTTGGCAACCCAATAGCCTCAGTATGTGGTCAATGGCCCTTGTAACTGTGGCCGCCCTAACCGGTGGACAGTGTCCAAAACAACATGTTTTCAAAACCGCAAGCGATAAACCGGAAAACTACATCGCCCAAATGACCCGAAAGCCGTAAACCCTCAAACGAAACCTTGGAAAACCTTCAGCCCTAAACCCCTCGCTGCCGAAAGCTAAACCCTAAACCCTAAACCCTAAACCCTAAACCCTAACGGGCGAGGACGCGGCGAACTATTTCTGGCGCCTCGCCCTAGAGATGGTCGCGGCGCCGGCCCCTAGCGACTTGGGACCCGCAGAGGCCTCCCAGCTGAAATCACACATGGGGGGTTGTCAGAATTGGGGTCCTCTTTGGGTACCCTAGATAATAGGTGCCGTAGTATAATAGGGACCCAAAAGGGACCATTATTTTCACAACCACCCACATCATTTCGGGTATATGTAAGAGTTCCTGAAGGGCGCTACAAGGGGGCTTGCCGGGCTTGTAGGGTTTAATTACAGGGTTGACGGAGGTTTAAAGAGGAGACACAAGCGACACAAGCCAAGCAGGAACCTAATTAAGAAGCCTTGGGCCTTCATTTATTCAGGTTCCTTATATGAATCCTACTAGGCCCAGGGGGTTCCCTGGAATATCTAAACAAAAGCTATACCAAAAAAAGGACCCCAAGCTGCAGTTCAAACGATTACGGCCTCGATATCTTTTATCTTAGCCAGCATTATAACGCATTAGCGTTGAGGACTCATAAGCTGTGGGGTCGAAGATCGGTTCAGCGTTTCGGGATCTACGGCGTCGGGTTTTAGGGCGTCTTCTTGCGCAGTGGTGGGTGGCGGCATATTCCGCGTAAAGCGACCTTCATTGCATGTGTCAGAAAAGTCAGTGAAAAAGGAAGTTCTCTTACACCCACCCACGTCTGAGCACCCAGTCATGAGTGGGAACGGCCCCGGACGGGTGGCTGGGAATTTAGGGTTTATAGGGGTTTAGGCGGTTTAGGGTTTACGGTTTAGGGGGTCCGAAGACAAAACTCTGAGGCCCAAGAGCCCGACGTAAAAACGGAAGCGCCAGAGCGCACGCGGTTTACTGTTTAGATTTCTGCTTGTAGTTACCTTAACCTGCCAAAACCTACTTTTTTGTAGGGTCCCTATAAATTCCGTATTGAGGTTTATAATAAGAGCCTCCAAAAAAGTAGGGTTTGGTAGGTTAAGGTAGTAGCTAGATTTATGCTGAAGATTCATGAGGATCCTCGTTGCAGGGACTCAGCGAACAGGCAGCAAACGCCAAGCCTTCAGCACCAAACCCGAAACCCTGAACCCGCAACAACCCTCGGCCGCAAGCCCTACAACCAACAAAGCTGAGCCCTGAATGGCAGTTGCTTAGCAGCTTAAAACAAGACCCCCCCCCAAAAACCCTGAATCCTACACACAACCTTTAATCCTAAAGCCCACAAGTGCTAAACTAAACTCTACACCAAAAAATTAAACTCTAAACTCCGGAAAGTTTTAAACCCTAAATCCCAAACGCTCCACACAAAACCCACAGTTCAATGCCTAACCCCAGTCTACACCGCCTCGGCTTATAAGAAGAAACGCCTAAAACTGTGGGTTCTTTGGGCTTTAGGTAGACTTCATTTAGGGTTTAGGGTTTTGCAAACTCGAAGGCGTAGCTCTCTCCTCTGGATCCCTGTCTCTAACTCTAGGTCCCGAAGCAGTACGGCACCCTTATACACAGGGCCCTACCCCTACTGTAGTAGTAGAGTAGGTAACCTTTAACCTTTTTTGTGTAGTATAGTCCCTATAAAATCCCTATATAGCCAATAAGGTTAACCTTTAGTTCCCCATGATACCCGACAAGTAGGTACTTTAGAGAACTACTCACTGACTGTGCAGGCCCTGAGAAGAAACGAGGCGCTGACAGCGAACTTTTGGGAGTTGCGGCGGCGAGCTGACATTTACTATGCCGCCGCCCGAGGGTTTAGGGTTTTGGGGTCTTTATAGGACATAGGATCTACTGCAGGGTTTGCGGTGATCGTTTGGGTTCGGAGTTTTGGGTTTGAGGTGTAGATGGCGTTCAGAACTGTGGCTTCCGATGTGTTTCAGAATTTGGGGTCAGGGATTTCGTTTTCCCTGCTCAACGGTTGTGGTGGTGGCGGTGGTGGGTTTGGCGGTTATTGTTTAGGTACGGCCCCCATACAGTAAGAGTCTATAATATAGTCTATCATAGGGCTACTAATTAAGGTCCTACTATATCTATATTATGAATAGTATTCGACTTTGACTGAGTGGGGGCCGTACCCAGGTTATTGTTCTTGCTGTTCCTGTTGTTCCTTCTGTGTTGGGCTTGCTCTGGACTTTGCATGGGTCAGAGGAGTGGGATGGTTCTAGCTGCGCGTCTGTCGAGGCGACGGTAGCGAACCGAAAGCTTTTTGGATAGTAGTAGAGTAGGTAACCTTTAACCTTTTTGATTTTGGGTAGTATAGTCCTATATAATCCCTGTGTAGCCAAACAGGTTAACCTTTAATTCCCCAATCTACCCGACAAGCAGGTTGTGATTCGGGTTCTGGGTTTAGGCTTGACGGATGTGGTGACCTGGATCTGGGTCCCCTGAGCCCTAAGCCTCGTGCCGTGAGGGTGATTTTGTCAAGGCTTGGGGTTTAGGGTTATACCTTAACAAGCCAAGACCTACTTTTTTGTAGGGTCCCCATGAATTCCATATTCGGGTTGATAACAAGAACCTACACAAAGCAAGGTTTGGTAGTTTAAGGTAGCTAAATTCTTGGTGGAAGGAACCGTAGTTGCTCAGGCCCCCTGTAGATGTGGGTTGAGGTCGCAGTCCACGTGCGACCCAAGACCTGCAGCATGGTACGATGATGGTGGTGATAGTGAGAATGTCGATGGTGGTGGCGATGGTGATGATGATGATGGTGGTGATGACGATTCTGCTGACTATGATGCGATGTGATGGTGATGGTGGTGATGATGATGATGATGCTGGTATAATGAAAACAGCAACGGCACATAAGTCAGTCATTTGTGAGGAGGAAGACTATGATGCCGATGATGACAACCGCGATAGGGAAGCGAGTAGGGAAGAGAGCGCATGAGTAGCCACGACAGTATAAATCCTCTCCGCAAGGGCTTTGCTCCCGAGCACCGTTTATGTTCTCATGCACACGAAGTGTGTGCAGTCCTGCTTTCACCTGGAACCCCTCGTGCGCAGAGTTGAGCCCCAATTCTCGAAACCAAAAGCTCCAGAACCCGAAAGAGCTTCACGTCTCGCAAAGAAGCCCGCGTTTTGGCACCCAGGCCTACTCGTACATCCACTCCTACATACAGGCCAGCCTCTTCCTACCTTATAGGTACTTTGGGCCCAAAGTATTTACGAGTTGAGTACATTGACCCTCATATACCCTAAATGTCCTTACACCCTTAAGAAACGCTTTAAAGTGCTTAAAAGAACCCTTAGGGATACTTTTTTGT